GAGAGCTCTCGCCCAGACGCACGAACCAGCGGCGGCACACAGCGCGGTGGTGGGGCTGCGCCGTGGTGCGGTGACGTGCACGTGCCACCATGACGACGCACGAACAACACATTCCCTCACCCATATGTTGGAGGGGTCGTCGTTGCGGTCGTCGTTGGTCGTCGTTGGTGGGCAAGCCTTTGGACACCTGGCCCCGTGCGCCCTCTCTGAGGCCAATCCGAACGAAGCGCGCACGCTTTTTGGGCCCCGTGGAGGTCGCGCCCTGCACACCCTGAGGAGGCCCAGAAGCGCCTAGGACTGCTGGCGCCTCCGGGGTCTGGGGCCTCAGAGGTCCTGTAATGCTGCCACCGCTCACAGCTGCATGAGCACTGGTGCAATCCTCTGCGCTGGAGGACCTAGCCTAGCTGCTTGTAGAAGACCAACATCTGGGGCTGTGAGATAGTGCGTGGGTCACGTAAGTATGTGCGCCACTCGCCGCCGTTTGACCTCTAGGTTTTTTTTGCCATTGCGCTAAAACACATCATAATCACACTGGTAGCGGAGCTACCACCCAACCCCCGCATCGTACCATTGCGCGCACTCCTCATCAGAGAGTGTCGCACAACCTCTTTTTATTTTCCGTGCTGGCAGTTTCCCTCGCTAGGGGACTGAGCCTTGCGCCATGGCACTGTCTTCTCTTCGCTATCGGCTGGGCGCCGACGCGCTGACGCGGTTCGAGACGAAGAATGGTTCCTACATCTACGACGGCACGGTGAACAATTTTCACGAGTGGGGATTCCGCACAGAGATGCGCATGAGTGCCGCCTTGGCCTTGGTGGATCCAGGGACGGGTGCACCACAGCAACACGTGATCACCGCAGCTGTCAACATTGTTGTAGAAAACCTCAGAGATGACGCATTCGATATTGTCATGGATATCGGTAAGGACGTGCTTCTGACTCCAAATGGGATCGATCAACTGGTGCTGGCGGTTCGTTGCGCCCCATAGAAACACAGGAAGCGGATATCCTGTTCCAGGTGGGGCAGAGACCATATTGGCCACTGTCTCGACAGCACGGTGAGTCTATGGTCTCGTACATCCCCCGGAGGAAGCGCTGGTGGAAACTTGTCTCCAAGTTAGATATTAAGATCTTGATGAGCGACGATATGCTCGGCTCCATTCTCCTGGACCATGCAGGCCTCTCGCCTTCGGAGATTTTGATGGTGTTGACATCCACAGGAATTGTGACAACTTTCGACAATATCAAGGACGCCTGGATCCTCCCGCACGGCCGCGTACACATCCGCCAAAAAGCAAGGGTGAGTCTGGTAGAAGGCTCCAGCTCTTCGACGTGGACGCAGCCCAGACCCTGCTACTAGAACAGGAGCAATGGCAAGGGCAAGGGGCGCTTCTCCAGGCCACAGCGCGCCTTCTACACTGCTGATGAAGGATGGTACGAGCAGGAGGAGCATTACCCCGAGGAGCTGAGTCCCTACGGATACTGCGCATCCGGCCATGCGCCAGGGCGCGACGGGGGCGACGCGGCCTGGGGCGACTACGCCGACGAACGCGCCTACGTCGACGAGGAATCGCATGCTCACTGGGCTCCTGTCCAGGATAGCAGCGAGCTCGATGTCGAGGTGGTCGACGAGATGGTCAAGGCCGGATATGCAGTGGAAGACGCTTCTGATCTGATGCGATCCCAGAGGACCTGGTCGCCAATCTTGGCACCAAAGGGAGGGGCAAGGGCGCGGGAAAGAGCGGGGGCAATAGTTGCCACTGCACGCCCAGATCGCCCAAGGGAGGCGGCGAGGGAGGACGTTCCCTGGAAGATCGCGAGACGCGGCTCCAGGAGATCAAGAAACGCTCGAAATTCAAGACCTGTCGCGAAACAGGCCACTGATTCGGGGGCCCTGAATGCAAGGGCGAGCCCAGGACGGCAATGGTAGCGTACACTGGAGACGCCCGCGAGCGCCATGTCCAGTTGCGCGAGGACGATGACGAACGGAAAATCACACCTGTCAGTTCTGTTGCTGCAGCACCAGCAATCCCTCATCTAGTTATTTAGGAGTAAGGAGCAGTGGACGAGGATAGATCCGGGTGTTTCTTGTTTCTGCTCTTCTTTCTTCTCGCGTCTTATGTCACAGGGCACGTGTGCATGAGGGGGGGGGGGGGGGGGGGGGAATTGTGGCGGACAATGTGGCTTGCAGCGCTGCCGCGTTGAGCATCGTGTTTGCGAGAGTTGCATGGGCGTGACCGAAGCCGCTCTGGCCCAGGGTACTCCAGAGCTTGCGGAGAAGAGTGTTCAGACCTCTTCAGAGGCTGATGGGGGGCACTCTGGGGCTCAGGGCCGTTCGCTCGACCGAATCTTATTCTATGGCTAGTGTTTCTGATAGGGAGTTTAAGCGGGGGGAGTCTGTTTCGGGCCCAGTCTCTGCCCCTGGTCAGGATGCTGTGTTTGCCTCGGGCCAGCGCGAAGAGCTTAGTTATGGTCGTGTTCTCAGGGGCGCTCCAGATTGCGTGGATTGGGGTCGCAAGGTGAAGACCAAGTTTGGATGTGATCCTGCCCTTTGGATGGGTCGATAGCAACTTGACT